AATAATTATTTCCATGCCCTATTTATAGATGTAGGAAACCCTAAATAAAATAATTGAGTCCAAACAAAATTAGGAAATCAAAACCCGAAAGGAATTGGATTCCCTTTTTTTTCGCCGCGTGAACAGTGTTGCCGCCTCAATATATTTTTGTACCATTCCCTTACTGCCACGTGGCAGCAGCAAGCAGCAAATTTGAATTTCCTCAATTGCAGCCGCCTTTTTTCATATATAAAAATATATTATTTTATTCACTTTAATCCATTAAGCTGTCTGCTTGATTTCCTTCTTCAACTTTCCATCTTTAATTCGTTTTATCTCCAAACTTCTTCATTTTTTTCATCAATTTAATCCTACAAATAAAATACACAATTTAGCACAATCCATAAAATTTATGCTCATAAAGGACAAATATAAATACTAAATGTGAGGCAAATAATGATTAAAAATATGTATTTTGACCTCACATCAGGGCCATCTGAAGACTGGAATGATAACTGTTGTTATAGGCAAACTCTACTAAAGGCAACTGTTGATCCCAACTAACATCAAAATCAATCATACAAGCTTGGAGCATATCCTCCAACACATGAATCGTCCGATCGAACTGACCATCTTTCTGAGGATGAAAAGTTGTACTCATATCGAACCGAGTATCCAAACCATGTTGCAAGTATTTTCAGAAATGGGAAGTGAACAACAAATCTCGATCAAAGAAAATAGAAATTGGGACTTCATATAGTCACACAATCTGACTGATATAAAGCTCGACTAACTTCTCCATCGTATACTTCATCCAAACTGGGTTGAATGAGCGGACTTGGTCAACCTATCAACAACCATCCAAATAGAGTCATAACCACCCACGGTGGTAGGTAGTCCCACAACAAAGTCCATAGTGATCCGCTCCCACTTTCAAGTAGGAATAGACATCCTCTAAGATATACCTACAGTCTGTTGGTGCTCACACTTGACCTATTGGCAAGTCAAACACCTCGAAACAAAATATGCATTATCCATCTTCATACTACACCACCAATAGTGCTGGCTTAGGTCATGATATATCTTCGCCGCACCCGGATGGATGAAATATGAGGAACAATGAGCCTCCTCAAGAATCAGTCTAACCAACTCACCTACCTTGGGCACACAATTCCTACCTCCAATCCACAAGACCCCATCCAAATCAAAGACAACCTCATTGGCTTTCCCTCTCATCACGTTGTCTTGAATGAGACATAGTTTCTCATCATCAAACTGGTGCTCATGAATCTTCTCAACTAAGGAAGAACGAGCCTCAATGAAAGCAATCAAAGCACCCGTCTCCTTAGAAATCCATAATCAGACGAGACTGTTAGCTAACCTTTGATCATATATGGCCAATGGTCTCTCTTTCACACTAATAACGGCAAAACTCCCATGCTAGAAGTTTCTTACTCAAAGCATCGGCCACCACATTGGCCTTCCCTAGATGATACAAGATGGTGATGTCATAGTCCTTCAATAGCTCAATCCATATGCACTACCTTAAGTTCAAATCTCTTTGGCTGAAGATATACTGAAGGCTCCGATGATCTATGAAAACCTCACAATGAACTCCATACAGATAATGTCGCCATAGCTTAAACACAAACACTACAACTGCTAACTCTAAATCATGGGTAGTGTAGTTTCTGTAACATCCGGTGAGTTGAAATAACTAAGAAAAGGCTTAGAATTGGAAATTTTTAATTTTTGGAAGGAATTTGAAAATCTGGAAAATTTTGACTAAGTGTGGAAAAAAAATGAATTTTTGGCCAACTTTGAGCAGTCATAAATTCCAGCTCAGGATGAGTTAGGAGTAGTTACAGTTATGGTTGTGAAGCTTGTGGAGTAATCTTTCCAACGCCTCCGAGTTTGCTCAATTCTCAGTTCGTATGAGCGAGTTATGACTTTTAGAAGTTGGGCAGTTGGCAGGGAAATCTGTCCGGAAAATTAAGGGCATTTTGGTCTGTTCCCTAGCTATTTCTTTTGAGGTTATGTTGTTGAGTTAGGCTGATACTTGGATCATTTTGTTCCATTTTAAGAGAGTGAAAGCTAGGATTGAGAGTGACGAAGAGAAGAAGAAGACAAAAAGGAGAAGAAGAAGAGAAAAAGGAGAAGAAGAAGAGAAGAAGAGGAGATCAACTAGTTTCCGTCAAAGTTCTGTCGTGGAAATCATCGGGGGTGATCCCTATCAAGATATGTGAGTTATTTGTGTGGGTTGATCCTTTCCCCCACACACCAAGCTCATTTTATGATTTGAGAAAGGATTGGATATGTTGTTGAAGTTGTTAGTTGTTGTTGATGTTGTTGATTGTGTTGTTGAAGTTCTTATTGGTTGTGAGACATGATTTGGTTGTGTTCTTGAGTTGAAATCTATTGTATGTTGAGAGATTGATGATCCCTAGTGTTTGGGGTTAAATCCACTGAAGTAAGGATGGTTTAGAGTTGAAGAAAAATGGGAGAAAAGTCGAGTTTTCTGGGCAAGGGGTCGGCGCGTCGCGCCCCAAAAGGGGCTCTGAGGTTTTCCCCTTGGGGCGGCGCGCCACTCAGAGCGCCAGCAGGTGACCTCTGACCTTCGAGGGCTGGCGCTCCGCGCCTTGCAGAGTGCCAAGGGCGCCAAGTTTCCCCCATTCTTTCACACTTTCTCATGCATGTTCCTAGGTATTATACCTATGTTTCCTAGTTGTTTCCAACGCTCAAATGTACATTTAAACCTCCCGAACTCATCTATAAACATGCGATTATATGTCTTGAATCCATAATCCAATTCAAGGCGAGTTAGTATCAAAGTCAAGGGAAGTTAGAATCAAGTCAAGAAGTAAGTTCAAGCAAGTCTTTAAAGCTTTTCAAGAGTCGTTATTGAACGTCTTAACGTCGCTTCAAGTTTTAGGTCAAGTAAAGAGTTTAGAGTTCCAAGTTAAGTAAAGAGTTTCAAGACAAGAAAAGGGTACAGGGTCTCAATCTAAGTGAAGAGTCTCAAGTTTCAAGCTAAGACAAGAGCATAAAGTCTCTAAATGTTTTTACATTTAAGTAAGAAAGGAACCATGTTTTCCAAAAGAGCCTTTGGGCTAAGTTTTGAGTAATTATCTCAAATCAAAGAAAGAAGTTAATTTAAAAGCATGAGCCAAAGTATTTTTGGGAGTAGTATTGAGCACCGAATTGGGGACACGAGTTCATATTAACTTAACTCTCCATAAGAACCATGCGCCAACATGGGACTTGACGTATCATTCTTTTTAAATGATCACGTAAGATTAGGCTAGTGGATCCACTAAGCAAAAGTAAGGTCCTATATCACGGCAAGGTATAGGATGGTCCTCGAGCAACGTGAGGTAAGACGTTGTATCATCACTAGGGCTCATAGTGGTGGTTGTCGGTTAAAGAACCTCCCACAAAGGTTATATTACTTTAAATAATTAAAGTTGAGTTTGTTATTGTTTTATCATTAACGGGTTAAGTTGTTTACACTGTTTTACAAGCTAATTATGTATTGCATGTGTCTTATTGCTTTACATATTTGAGTTTAGTTTTTCATGAGTCGAGCAGAGTCAAGGTAAGTGTTCTCTTGTACTCCTTTCAAGCTTAAGTTGTGGTTCAGCTTTCCAGCTCGCATACTCGTACATTCCATGTAATGATGCCAGTTGGCTTGCATCTTGTTATGATTTAGCTACAGGTACCCCAGATCAGCATCCTGCACGTCGTTGATCTAACTGAGCACTCCAGAGTCAGTGGTGAGCCTCCTTGCATTCCGGAGGACTCAATTATTTTGTGTACTTAGTTTTGTTCTATTAGGATGTTGCGGGGTCTGTCCCAACATCCATCTCAGTATATGAGAGGCTTCATAGACAGTCAGTCAGTTAGTTTGGAGTCTCTCTTCTATGTATATATGTAAATATCTATTTTGAGATTCGAGATGCCCTTGTGGCCAGACTCTTATAAGTTAAGTTGTTGTGTAAACTTGCATTGCTTTAAGTTATTCTGTTGAGTTAGGTTTCCGCTGAGTGAAGAAAGCCAGGCCAAGGGTTCGCTTGGGGCCAACAATGGTCTGCAAGTGCCGGTCCCGCCCAGGGTGTAGGCTCGGGAGGTGACAAACTTGGTATTAGAGCACAGAGTTCAAGAGTCCTAGGGAGTCTATGAAGCCGTGTCTGTAGAGTCCTAGTTATCGGTGTGAAGCGCGCCACATCTATAATTGGGAGGCTACAACATTTATGATGATATCTCATTTCTTTCACACTCATCTCGTGCGTTAGAGTTTATCTCTAAAAAGGTTTCTTTCTAATCTGTGCTTGCGCGTATTTCAAATAGCCATGCCTCCACTAAGAGTTGGTAGAGGGCGTCTTCCTAGACGTTATGTTGATGAGCAAGAGTTACCCTACGCACCGGAAATGCAAGATCAAGGGGAAGTTTCTAATGCCGAGTTCAAAGAGGCAATTAGGATGTTGAGTCAAGCTGTAGCTAATCAGATGGGTCAGCAAAGGGGAGCTCGACATGAAGGAGCTGACACTTCTAGAATTCGTGAGTTCTTGGGGATGAATCCTCCAAGTTTCATGGGTTCGAGCACTACGGAGGATCCAGAGAACTTCATTGAGGAGTTGAAGAAGATTTTTGATGTGATGCATGTGGCAGATACTGAGCAGGTTGAGCTAGCTGCGTATCAATTGAAGGATGTTGCTAGAACATGATTCGACCAGTAGAAAGAGGGCAGAGCTGAGAATGCACCACCTGCGAGTTGGGCCCGTTTTGAGGAAACTTTCTTGGGGCATTTCTTTCCTCGAGAGTTGAGGGAGGCCAAGGTACGTGAGTTCCTCACACTTAAGCAGGAGTTTTTGAGTGTCCAAGAGTACAGTCTGAAGTTCACACAATTATCCCGCTATGCTCCGGAGATGGTGGCGGATATGAGAAATAGAATGAGCTTGTTTGTTGCTGGGCTGTCTCGGTTGTCAAGTAAGGAAGGTAGGGCTGCAATGCTTATCGGGGACATGGACATATCCAGGTTAATGGTCTACGTACAACAGGTTGAGGATGAGAAGCTGAGGGACAGAGAAGAGTTCAGAAGTAAGAGAGTCAAAACCGGTAATGAGTCCGGGCAGCAGAAAGGTAATTCAAACCGTTCCTCTTTTCAGCAAAGGCAAAACGGACCTGCTCCATCATCTACTAGAGCACCTGCACCCAGATACAAAGGTGAATTTAATGGCCAGAATTCGAAGGACTTCAAGGCTAGACCAGCACAGTCCTCAGGTAGTGTGGCACAATGAAGTAGTTTGTTTCCTATATGTGCTAGGTGTGGTAGAACCCACCCGGGTAAGTGTCGGGATGGCCAGACAGGTTGTTTTAAGTGTGGACAAGAGGGTCACTTCATGAAGAAGTGTCCTAAGAATAAGCAAAGTAGCGGAAATTTGGGCAGTAGGTCCCAATCCTCTTCAGTTGCTCCTCCAGACAGGGCGGCACCTAGAGGAGCTACTTCTAGTACATGCGGAGGAGCAAATCGCCTCCATGCAATCACCAGTCGTCATGAGCAAGAGAACTCTCCAAATGTTGTCACCGGTATGATTAAAGTCTTTGCTTTTGATGTGTATGCTTTGCTAGACCCAGAAGCAAGTTTATCTTTTGTGACTCCTTATGTTGCAAGTAAGTTTGATGTTCTTCCTGAAAGACTTTGTGAACCCTTTTGTGTTTCTACACCTGTTGGGGAGTCTATTCTAGCAGAAAGAGTCTATCGTGATTGTCCTGTTTCTATCAATCACAAGAGCACCATGGTTGATTTGATTGAGTTAGACATGGTAGATTTCGATGTCATTCTAGGTATGGATTGGCTTCATGCTTGTTATGCATCGATATATTGTAGAACTCGAGTGGTCAAGTTTCAGTTTCCAAGTGAGCCGGTCATAGAGTGGAGAAATAGTTCAATAGTGCCTAAGGGTCGTTTCATTTCGTACCTTAAGGCAAGAAAGTTAGTTTCAAAGGGTTGTATCTATCACTTAGTCCGAGTTCATGACTCTAGTGTTGAGATACCTCTTTTTCAGTCAATTCATGTAGTAAGAGAGTTTCCAGAAGTTTTTCCTGATGATCTACCCGGAATTCCTCCTGAGAGAGAAATAGATTTCGGCATAGATCTCATTCCAGATACTCGTCCTATCTCTATTCCGCCATATAGAATGGCACCAGCAGAGTTGAAAGAGTTGAAAGAGCAGTTGAAAGATCTCCTAGAAAAGGGTTTCATTCGACCGAGTGTCTCACCTTGGGGTGCTCCGGTTTTGTTTGTGAGGAAGAAAGATGGTTCCCTTAGGATGTGTATAGATTACCGCCAGTTGAATAAGGTTACCATCAAGAACAAATACCCTCTTCCGAGGATTGATGATTTTTTCGATCAGCTTCAGGGTGCCACTTGTTTTTCGAAGATTGACCTCAGATCAGGCTATCATCAGTTAAGAGTAAGAGAGTGTGATGTTCCAAAGACAACTTTCAGGACCCGGTACGGTCATTATGAGTTTTTAGTCATGTCATTTGGTTTGACAAATGCACCGGTAGCTTTCATGGACCTGATGAATAGAGTCTTCAAACCTTATTTAGATACGTCTGTTATCGTCTTCATTGATGACATACTAGTTTATTCAAGGAATTAAGAAGATCATGCTAATCATCTCAGAACAGTTCTTCAGACTCTGAAAGACAAGGAGTTGTATGCCAAGTTCTTTAAGTGTGAGTTTTGGCTTAAGTCTGTGGCGTTCTTAGGCCACATTGTGTCCGGTGATGGAATTAAAGTTGACACTCGAAAAATTGAGGCAGTGCAGAATTGGCCTAGACCCACATCTCCAACTGAAATTAGGAGTTTTTTGGGATTAGCTGGCTATTATAGAAGGTTTGTTGAAGGGTTCTCGTCTATTGCATCTCCTTTGACAAAGTTGACTCAGAAGACAATGAAATTTCAATGGTCTGAAGCTTGTGAGAAAAGCTTTCAGGAATTGAAACAGAGGTTGATTACAGCTACAGTTTTGACGTTACCAGAAGGTACTCAAGGTTTTGTGGTGTATTGTGATGCATCTAGAATTGGTTTGGGTTGTGTCTTAATGCAAAATGGCAAGGTTATAGCTTATGCCTCCAGACAGTTATAAGTTCACGAGAAGAATTACCCAACCCATGACTTAGAGTTAGCGGCGGTGGTGTTTGCTTTGAAGATATGGTGTCATTACTTGTATGGTGTGCATGTCGACATATTCACTGATCACAAGAGCCTTCAATATGTGTTTACTTAGAAAGAGCTTAATCTCAGACAGAGGAGGTGGTTAGAATTACTCAAGGACTATGACCTGAGTATTCTCTACCACCCAGGTAAGGCTAATGTTGTTGCTGATTCTTTGAGCAGGTTGTCTATGGGTAGCACCGCCCATATTGAAGAAGGAAGGAGAGAGTTAGCAAAAGATATGCACAGACTGGCATGTCTGGGAGTCAGACTTACAGATTCCGCAGAAGGAGGAATAGAAGTGACGAGCAGGGGCCGAGTTATCACTAGTGTCAGAAGTGAAAGAGAAACAAGATCAAGATCCCATTTTGCTTGAGTTGAAGGCAAATGTTCAAAAGCAAAGAGTATTAGCTTTTGAACAAGGGGGAGATGGTGTTTTGAGATATCAAGGTAGATTGTGCGTACCTATGGTAGATGGACTCCAAGAGAGGATTATGGAGGAAGCTCACAGCTCCAGATATTTTATTCATCCGGGTTCCACCAAGATGTATCGTGATTTGCGTGAAGTCTATTGGTGGAATGGCATGAAGAAGGGCATTGCAGAGTTTGTTGCTAAGTGTCTAAATTGCCAACAAGTGAAAGTTGAACACCAAAGGCCCGGTGGTTTAGCTCAGAGGATAGAACTTCCAGAATGGAAGTGGGAGATGATCAATATGAATTTCATCACAGGGTTGCCAAGGTCTCGCAGACAGCATGATTCTATTTGGGTGATTGTCGACAGAATGACAAAGTCAGCCCATTTTCTACCGGTAAAGACTACCAATTCAGTAGAAGATTATGCCAAGCTGTATGTTCAAGAGATCGTGAGACTTCACAGAGTCCCAATCTCTATTATTTCGGATAGAGGTGCACAGTTCACTGCACAGTTCTAGAAATCGTTTCAGAAAGGCTTGGGTTTGAAGGTGAACTTGAGTACTGCCTTTCATCCTCAGACTGATGGGCAAGCAAATCGTACTATTCAGACTCTAGAAGATATGTTGAGAGCTTGTGTGATCGATTTCAAAGGCAATTGGGATGATCACCTACCTCTCATTGAGTTTGCCTACAATAATAGTTATCACTCTAGCATCTAGATGGCTCCATACGAAGCTCTTTATGGGAGAAGATGTAGATCTCATATTGGATTGTTTGAAGTTGGTGAAGCACAGTTGATAGGACCAGATTTAGTTCACCAAGCTATGGAGAAGGTGAAAGTGATTTAAGGAAGGTTGAAAACGGCACAGAGTTGCCAGAAATCCTACACTGATGTTAGGAGAAGGGTGTTAGAGTTTGAAGTAGATGATTGGGTTTATTTGAAGGTTTCACCGATGAAGGGGGTTATGAGGTTTGGTAAGAAGGGGAAACTTAGTCCCCAATATATTGGACCTTACCGCATAGCCAAGAGAATTGGCAATGTTGCTTATGAGTTGGAGTTACCACAGGAACTAAAAGCGGTTCATCCAGTATTTCACATCTCCATGTTGAAGAAGTGCATAGGCGATCCTTCATTGATCCTACCGACTGGAAGTATTAAGATCAAGGATAACTTATCTTATGAGGAGGTGCCTATTCAGATTTTAGATCGTCAAGTTCGTAGGTTGAGAACAAAAGATGTAGCCTCAGTAAAGGTCCTATGGAGGAACCAATTTGTTGAGGAAGCTACTTGGGAAGCCGAAGAGGACATGAAGAAGAGATATCCACATCTCTTTGAATCCGGAGGAAACACAGATTAAGGTACTAATTTCCTTCTTAGTGCTCTTTTAATTATAATGAGCATGTTGTGGTTGTCGTTGTGTTTGCATAGTTGCTTGTTGGGTGTTTGAGTTGTTGTTGCACCCTTAGCCTTGTAAGAGTAACCTCATTCGAGGACGAATGTTCCCAAGGGGGAGATATTGTAACATCTGGTAAGTTGAAATAACTAAGAAAAGGCTTAGAATTGGAAATTTTTAATTTTTGGAAGGAATTTGAAAATCTGGAAAATTTTGGCCAAGTGTGGAAAAAAAATGAATTTTTGGCCAACTTTGAGCAGTCATAACTTCCATCTCAGGATGATTTAGGAGTATTTCCAGTTATGGTTGTGAAGCTTGTGGAGTGATCTTTCCAACGCCACCGAGTTTGCTCAATTCCGAGTTTGTATGAGTGAGTTATGCCTTTTAGAAGTTGGGCAGTTGGCAGGGAAATCTGTCCGGAAAATTAAGGGCATTTTGGTCTTTTCCCTAGCTATTTCTTTTGAGGTTATATTGTTGAGTTAGGCTGATACTTGGATAATTTTGTTCCATTTTAAGAGAGTGAAAGCTAGGGTTGAGAGTGAAGAAGAGAAGAAGAAGAGAAGAAGGAGAAGAAGAAGAGAAAAAGAGGAGATCAACTAGTTTCCGTCAAAGTTCCGTCGTGGAAATCGTCGGGGTGATCCCTATCAAGGTATGTGAGTTATTTGTGTGGGTTGATCCTTTCCCCCACACACCAAGCTCATTTTATGATTTGAGAAAGGATTGGATATGTCGTTGAAGTTGTTAGTTGTTGTTGATGTTGTTGATTGTGTTGTTGAAGTTCTTGTTGGTTGTGAGACATGATTTGGTTGTGTTCTTGAGTTGAAATCTATTGTATGTTGAGATATTGATGATCCCTAGTGTTTGGGGTTAAATCCACTGAAGTAAGGATGGTTTAGAGTTGAAGAAAAAGGGGAGAAAAGTCGAGTTTTCTGGGCAAGGGGTCGGCGCGTCGCGCCCCAAAAGGGGCTCTGAGGTTTTCCCCTTGGGGCGGCGCGCCACTCAGAGCGCCAGCAGGTGACCTCTGACCTTCGAGGGCTGGCAGCGCCTTGCAGAGTTCCAAGGGCGCCAAGTTTCCCCCATTCTTTCACACTTTCTCATGCATGTTCCTA